TTGGCGAGAGAGGTGTGTTGAAGTCTCCTACCATTAGTGTGTGTGTGGTTTGATGACTGCTTTGAGTTCTAGAAGTTTTTCTTTTATATAAGTTGGTGCTTTTATATTAGGGGCATAGATATTCAGGACTGAAACTTCTTCTTGATGAATTGTTCCTATTATGAGTATAAAATACCTGTCTCCATCTCTGCTGATTGATTTTAGCTTGAAGTCAATTTTGTTGGAAATTAGAATGGCCACACCCGTTTGTTTCTTAGGTCCATTTGTTTGAAAAACCTTTTCCCAACACTTTACTCTTAGTAGATGTCTGTCTTTGTGGTTGAGGTGTGTTTCTTCTAAACAGCAGAATGTTCGATCCTGTTTTCGTTTCCAATCTCTTAGTCTGTGCCTTTTTATAGGTGAGTTGAGTCCATTAATAGTAAGTGATATTAACGACCAGTGGTTGTTGACTCCAGTTATTTTTTTATTTTGTTTTTTGTGTAGTAGAGTTTGTGTGTTTTCCTTCTATGAGTTGTGCTTGTGAAGGGTTGCTATATGTCTGAGGTATTGAAGGCAGTGTTGGCAATGATAGATTCCTTGGGTTGTGATTTTCCTTCTATTACTTTCTGTAAGGCTGGATTTGTGACTATAAATTGTTTAAATTTGTTTTTATCCTGGAATATTTTATTTTCTCCATTGATAGTGAATGATAGCTTGGCTGGGTATAGTAGTCTGGGCTTGCATCCATCATCTCTTAGTTTCTGCAGTACCTCTATCCAGGACCTTCTGGCTTTCATGGTTTCTGTAGAGAAGTCTGGTATAAGTCTGATAGGTTTACCTTCATTAGTTACTTGACCCTTTTCCTTTGCCGATATTAATATTCTTTCTTTAATCTATATGTTTTGTGTTTTGATTACTATATGGCGAAGGGATGTTTTTTTTTATCCAATCTATTTGGTGTTCTGAATGCTTCTAAACCTTCATAGGAATATCATTCTTTAGGTTGGGAATGTTTTCTTCTATAATTTTGTTGAATATATTTTCTGGGACTTTGATCTGCAATTCTTCTCCTTCTCCTACCCCTATTATTCTTAGATTTGGTTTTTTTATTGTGTCCCAGATTTCTTGAATGTTTTGTGATGAAAATATGTTGGATTTGCCATTTTCTTTGATCAGAGAGTTTATTTTCTCTATGTCATCTTCAGAATCTGAGATTCATTCTTCCATCTCTTGTATTCTATTGGTTATGCTTGATTCTGTAGTCTCTGTTTGTTTACCTAGATTTTCCATATCCAGCCAGCCCTCAGAAAACAGTTTGTGTTTTCTTCATTGCCTCCATTACAGTTTTCAATTCTTGAACTGTTTCCATTACCTGTTTGATTGTTTTTTCTTGGTTTCCAGGGTATCATTTATGGATTTACTCATTTCTTCAAACTTTTTGTTATATTTCTCATCCATTTCTTTAAGGGAGTTATTCATATCCTGTTTAAGGTACTCTATTGCTTTCATAATGGCACTTTTTCCCACTTTTTCTGGATTAGGGTGTTCAAGTCCTTCTGTTGTAGGGTTGCTGGGATCTGGTGTTTTCATGTTGTTTTTCAGATTGTTAGAGGAATTCTTGCCTTGGCATCTGCCCATCTCTTCCTTCAAATGCTCTCTATTGGATCTTTTGATACCGGGCCAGCTTCCCTTGTTGGGCAGGGACCTCACTGACAGAAGACCTACCTTTCCGCAGGCAGGCTATTGAAACACAGGAACTCTCTCCTGCTGGTTTGCCGTTACAGCCCAGGTCCAGGACTCAAGGCAGCTGAACTGGGGGATTTTATGGCCCCGAGGAGGAAGGGAGGAATAAAGGAAGGAGTTCCTGGGTGAAATCTGGGATGGGATAGGAGGCAAGAGGGCTTATCAGGGTGGAGCTGACCCTGCAGAGTGGACAGGGAGTCAAGGGGGTCTGGAATGTCTGAGCTCCTCCTTGCCAGGCTTCTGCTGCAGGTCAGGAGCAAACTCACCCCTCTGATGGATCGTCTGCTAGAGGATCAGTGTCCCTTGCTGGCCAGAAATCTTGCTGAGCTGACACAGGGCCTACCTTTCTGCAGGCAGGTTATTGAAACACAAGAACTCCCTCCTGCCAGGTTGCGCTGACAGCCCAGTCCCAGCACTCAAGGTGGCTGAGCTGGGGGATTTTATGACCCCAGGAGGAAGGGAGGAATAAAGGAAGGGGTTCCTGGGTAAAAGCTGGGATGGGATAGGAGGCAAGAGGGCTTAGCAGGGTGGAGCTGCCTGTGCAATGTAACCAGGGAGTCAAGGGGGTCGGGGAATTTCTGAGCTCCTCCTTGCCGGGCTTCTGCTGTGGGTCAGGAGCAAACTCACCCCTCTGATGGATCGTCTGCTAGAGGATCAGTGCCCCTTGCTGACCTTGATCTATAATTCTTAATACCTATATAACTTAAAGACTAAGACTTCATATTAGAATATTATATAATGAACAATTTACAACAAAAGAGGACAATAACCTCAAAATGTAAACAATGTATAAGTATCTTGATCAGAATGAGACTGTCCATTGCAATATGATAAATATATCAATATATGAAAAATGATTTAAGCAGAGGTAGAAGCATGTATGCATACAATATTCAATATAATTTAACTTTGTATCAATATACAAGAATCTATACCAATGTAATTGCCTATTAATAATTCAGAAATAATCACTCTATTATACACTATTATAATTACTATGAAAAAGGTCATACTAATCTATTATCCCATCCAATTTTCCTTTTTTTAAAAGAGGTCCCTGAGGCTACAAAATCCCCCCCAACTCCCAACCCAATACCAATTATAAGCAGCCCCTAAATAATCTCCCAAATCCTGAGGACAAACTTTGTTTGGAGAGGGGACTTTGTATTCTAAAATTACATCCAGCTGACATGGGGAAAATGTTCTTTCTATGGGATCCTGTGAAAGTAAAATAATGGTTACGTTCCAAGATTATTGTCTGGTATAATTGCAAGTAGTCTCTGAGTATTGGGTTGGGTTTTTCTGAGTTTACTATTGGAGGTCTGGCCAGAACATTGCAAAAACAAGTGCACCATTTCAGCTAACCAAGTTGGAACCATCTTGAGCACCTGGTACCCAAAACAGGTCATGCAGTAGCACTATCAGCATCATGACGCCATATCAAACATGTAGAGTTGTTGTTGTGGGGTCCCATCTTCTTCCTGGAAACTTCAAAGATTACTGCAGGAAAATTCATTGTTCATTGTTGAAAACTTAAACATTATTTTATATATTTTTTTTATTTATTAAAAATTTCCACCTCCTCCCTGCCTCCCTTTTCCCCCCCACCTCCCCCTCCCTCTCTAGTCCTAAGAGCAGTCAGGGTTCCCTGCCCCATGGGAAGTCCAAGGTCCTCCCTGCTTCATCCAGGTCTATAAAGGTGAGTATCCAAACAAACCAGGCGCCTACAAAGTCAGTCCATGCAGTAGAATGAAAATCAAGTGCCATTGTCCTTGGTTTCTCAGTCAGTCTTCATTGCCAGCCATGTTCAGAGTGTCCATTTTGATCACATGTTCCAAACACTCCCAGTCTCATTAGATCAATCCCACTGTCTCAGTGGGTGGACGCACGCCTTGTGATCCTAACTTCCTTCATTTTCTCCCTCCTTCTGCTCCTCATTTGAACCTGTCCTGGAACTAGCTTTTATAGACCAGGCTGGGCTTGAACTCACAGAGATCCACCTACCTCTGCCTTCCAAGTGCTGGGATTAAAAGTGTGTGCCACCACCTCCCAGCCTAATCATTGCTTTCTAATGCTGCTTTCTCTGAAAGGTTTTCCTAGAGAATTTTTTCCTAAGAATTTTCACAAAAAATATCCTTTGATGTTTGATATATTGGAAAATTATAATTTACAACAATGTAAATCCCTTTTTAAAAAAAAGTAAGAATATTGAGGTTTTGAAATGTTTTCATAGTTAGGAGTATTGCCTGACCTTGCAGATGACCCAGATTTGATTCCAGAATGCACATTGTATCTTTCCACCATCTAAAACTCAAGTCCCAGGGAATCCAATGCCCCCTTCTGACTTCCACAGGTATTGTATGAATATGATACAAAGATACACATGCAGCAGAACATTCATGCACATAAAATAATATTTTTTATTTAAAAGTTATTTTAATTGAAATTTTTCTTGACCATAGCATAGAGTTTGTAGATGTATATTTTAAAAGAAATTTAATTATGCCTCTTTATACAGTAAAAGCATTTTATTCTTCTTTTGATTACTACTGAAAATTTGCCAAGTTTTTTTAGATAAAATTTGATATACAAGAGATTTACCAGATAAATACTTATTTTTTAATTTCTTGTCTGAGGAATTGAAATATATGACATTTATTTTCTACTAAAATATTCACGTAATTAGTGGCATACTTCCTACAGCTTATACATGAGCCATAAGATATAGACAAGTATGGAAGAAAGAAGTAATGAGAAAATTAAAATGGGAAGACCTGTGCAGCAGTGGACAGAGTTCATGCCGTATCCTAGTCCATTTTTGTTACCATAATAAAAAACTCGGAGAAGCCCCCTTTCTCACAACTGTAGGGACTGACAAGACCAGCACCAAGGTGCCACCAACTCTCCAGGATCTGCAGCTGGTTCACTGCAGTGTGGAAAAGGTCATGTTGACAGAGCTCCTTTGCCTGGAGTCACTCTCATTATCACGGCATTAGTCCATTATTAATTTCAGAGATGTCAATAAAACACTCTTCCATTTCCAACTCTGGGCTTCCAGTGTCAAGGTCAAGAGCAAAGACTTTAATGAAGGTTCTACAGCCCAGATGTGAGATGGCTTAGGGTGGGAGTCCAGTTGAGACTAGGACTTTGTAAAGTTTTCTCAAGCTGCCTGCAGATGACCCCACACACAGAGATCAACAAAGGCCACACAAGGCCTTCAGTGAACCCTGAAGGCCAGGGCTTCCATCTATAAAACACTTGTCTTAGAATAACGCATCTGTGTCTGTGTGCATTTGCATTCACAAAATAAAGAAACTGAAAATCAGCATTTGTATAAGTCACATTGGTTCTGTAGTCCATGCTTTGTACCACCAACTGCACTGGGAGAGCTGGCAGCATTGACAGTTGAATGCAGAGATCTGGTGTAGAAGGTAAAGGAATAGGAATGGCATTCACAATCAGGAGTCAGGACATGGGATTTCAGACATGTTCCAGTTTCTTTTGGCAGACCCAACGGTTGTCTGCAGAGCAGGTGTCAGAAAACACTTCTGTCTGTGAGATGACTGCACAGCTGTTGTCTTTGTCCTTGCCAGTGACCTGTAATCTGAGGAGTAAAGAATAGCTACTCCTAGTGTATAGGATTTTCTTGAAATTACCACATCAGTCATCAGCCATTTTTGGACATTTCAGGATGCTAAGATTACATAGTGCTTAAGTATAGTAATCATAGTACAAACATTATAAATACACGTAATCATTAAAGATATCACCTAGAGAAGCCTCTAGAATTTTCAGTTGTACCCTCACTGGAGGAATCAAGAATATTTATCATCATGTATGAAAAGGAGAAGGTTTTATTCCTAGTTCTACTACAATAGTTCTTGTGATCATGTGAAAGGCATCTTCATTTTGCTGAGCTTCAGTTCCCTTAAAAATATAGGCTATAAGCAACTACTGCTTAGAGAAAGCATTGAGATATACATGAATGTATAACAATCATTACACAGTAGGTACTTAGTAAATGTATTCAACAGGAAGGGTGACCACAGTGGGTCTACAGAATTGGATACAGAGAAAATAAGAACCACAACTCGTGTGGTTCCTTCTCTTCTCATCCCAGAAATCTTGGGTCTTTGCTCTAGCACAACACTAGTCCCACAGCCAGGATTTCAGGAATCAGTGCAGGTGGGAAGGAGGCCAGAAGTCAACCCTAACCCATGCAATTTCTCAGTGATGACAAAGAATTGCTGAGTTCAAGAGCAGCCTGTCTCAAATGGAGGATGTCACTCATCAGACAGTAGGCAGGGCTCCCTCACAGCTGACTTTTGCTAGTCATTCTTCATGGTGCCCCTTGTCCCTAAGCAATAAGTTTTAGGTCACACTAGTGCCTAGCATGCTAATCAAAGCATGAACTTCCCTCAACTCGGCTTCTATAAATATTCTTACATCTTATTTTTCATCTTGTAGCTTCTTCAATATTCAAGACCCTTTTCCTAAGGCCTGTTTGTTCAAATCAGTGATTTCTTTTCAAAAAGCATTTGGTGGATTTCCAAGGCTACCCCAGCCAGACATACAGTGAAAGCTCTAACTTTATCTCCTTTAATTCCCCAAATAATCCAGCTTGTGAAATTTTAAGTTTCCTCTTGTTTTCCTAACCTGAATACAAGGGCCCAAGGAGTTAGAATAAATACTTACTTCTTGGATATGTGAAAGAAATTTGGGGAAGGGAGGGAGAGTGGAAGGGTCAAAGTTTGTGTAGAAGTTAGGGGACTATTGTCGGGGAATCCCCCTTTCTACCTTGTTTCAACCACAGTCATGTGTGCTTCAGTCTCACTGTCCCAGACATTTCTGGGTGACTCTCCTGTCTCAACCTCCCATCTCCCTGCAGGAGTGCTGGGATACAGATGTGGACTTCTATACGGGTTCTGTGGACTGAACTGTGAGATTTAAACAGGTAGAACTCTTACACAGAACGTTTTTCTCAGTCTAGATGAAACAAAAGCCAGTTTGACTGACACTCTTTCTATTGTAGCCTGGCATCCTCCAAATTTACCTGCTCACTGCCATCTTATCAGATCATCCTTTTATCAGAGTGAAATCACACAGCAGCTGAGCTAATTCCTCTGCCTGACATGGATATCTTCACTTATCATAACATTTTCTCTATGAATCAAAACTAGGTAAGCATTTTACATCATAGCACACCTATACACAAAAATCATCACACACATGAAGAAAGAAAGAATAATTAATCATTACTATGTGTAAAATCATTTTTAAACAGCAATGTCTATACTGAGACATTCTGCCTAGAGAAAGTAATTTCATGACACACTATGGTGCAACTTTGTTACCACAGTTATAAAGCACTGCTGAATGATTTCTGTGTATGGGTAGAGAAATGATGTAGTGCCTAAGTGTGATTACTGTTATGTAGAGAGCTCAGGTTCAAGTTCTAGCACACATGTGGTAACTCACAAATATCTGCAACTCCAGTTTCAAGGAATCTACTGCCTTTTTCTGACTAGTGTGAACTCCTGCATGAACATGATATACATACATATATGCATTCAAAAACACGCAGAAAATAAAACAAATACATATGTTTTTAAATTTCTAAGAAAGTGTGTGTGTGAAAAAAGAAAGAGAAAAAGAAAATATATATGTTCCCCCAAAAAACATTAAAAACTATTTTATCTCTAACAGTAAAAAGTTAGTCTACTTCCTGTCTTTTTAAATTCCATTGTAATTAAATATACACATATTATTATAAAGGGTTGCTATCTACTTGTACATGAAACTTTGCAACTAATTCTGAAATTGACTTTTCAGTCTATTTCAACAATCTCAAGAATTTATACACTAAATTAAAATTACAAAATTTAATTTTCTGTAAAAATGAATGTGAATTGAATATTTAAATTAACTTATTTAATACTTACTGATCAGGATTTAAAGCAGAACCATTTGTCCACTTCCACATCTGCTCCACTTTTAAATATTTTAGTCCAATAAAAAACTGATGTCCTTCTCTCTTTGAGAAATTCTGGAAGTATCTCTATAACCAAAACATAGTGGAAGACTTAATTTTCAATCTATTTATTCATGACATACTTTCTTCTACCAACCTTCTGAAACACTATTACTCCTGTTTAAAGTTCATCCTAGCTCCCCACCAGCATAATTGTCTCCTCTCTGAAACTAATCTCTATATATTTCTACTGTTAATTGATTCATCCCATTATTTTTTATTACTTTAAAGAAATACCAATCCAAATTCCCACTTCCTCCCCTCCTCCCCCTCCGCTCCCACACTCTCCACATCCCAGTGCCTCCCATCCCCCTCCAATCTTAAGAGAGGGCAAGGCACCCTGCCCAATGGAAAGTCCAGGGCCCTCCCCAACTACATCTAGGTTTTAAATTCTTTAAAATCCAAGTCTCCACTTCCTCAATGTAGACCATTGGTTAAAGTCCAGACATGTCATCAAAACTTCAAGAAAGTGTTATGTTCTAAACTGAACAATTTTATTATCAATTTACCAATTCTTCTTGATCTTCAATGAGCAGCAAAGTGGCTCCTCTCACAGAGCAGTCAGCTAGACCTTCAGACCAAGGTCTGGAAGTTTGAGAAATAAATAAACATTTATTCCCGTATTGCTGCCAATCTTTCAGGCATGGTGGAATGGCTGATCTCCCTCGAGTAAAAAAGAAGACATGTTTATTTCTGCCCTTTTTCTGCTGCACAATAATCAACTCCACACAGGAGTCGTTTCATTTAGCACATGCTGGAACAAGGTTAATGTTGTCATATGTCAGGGAATCATAAATAATGACAAAGGATTAATTTTATGTTTGTTTTCTACTAATTTACTTCAGACAAAATAAACTGTCTAACATGTTCACTAACATAATCAACTATTTTTCTTTTTTACATGATATTTGCCTATTAAGATTCTGTGCACCAGCAACCTGAGGCAACATGGTCAGCTGGGTAAGAACGTAAATGTCAAGGTCACACAGCTTCAGTGCAGTTTCCAGCGCCAACACTTACAAATCTTGTGACTCTCTGCAAGTTCGTAATTGTTTTATGTTCTTCTCAGACATAAAAGGTGATCCAGCATCTTCATTGAAGACTGTTTTCAACTTCTACTGAGTTAACTCACATAATCTGTCAAAAATCATCTCTTATTATCAGGAAATTCTCGCCATACAATTACCTGTTGGTTCAGCCTTGATCGCTTGAGCAGGCACACCACATTTTTCTATTGCTGCTTTTCTCACTAAGAATCCCACTAGTAAATAAGGAAGCATACAGAGAGGATTAAAGGAGGAAATGAATGGTGGGATGAGTGTGCTCTTTTTGTTTTTCTTTCTTTTGGTGGGCGAATTGAGAGAGATTTCTCTGTGTCACAGCCCTGACTGTGCTGGAACTCTCTATGTAGACCAGGCTAACCTCAGACTCATGGAGATCCATCTGCCTCTGACTCCCAAGTGCTGGGATTATAGGTGTTTGTTATCACATCCAGCTTGTTTTATTTCTTATTTCAGGAAATCAAGTTATTTCATCTGGACATCTGGACTGAGAATAAAATATTGGCCCACTGAATTAAGGAAGAAATTTGGAAACAGGACATATCACAAGAAATACAAAGAACATATGGATTCAAACAGTGATGAGGTTGCATATCCTTGATTGGCAAGTCAATCTGTGGGTTTGCTCGTCTTCAATCACACCCACATCAAGAAAAGGTTTATCAAGCATTCAATGAGCTAAATATGGGATTCTTTTAGCTTTCTTTGTTATTATCATCTTTTGTCACAATTTGACTTTTATTTTTTATATTTCAAGATGCACATGTGCCATATCCTATAATGGATTTCAAAAAATTAAGAAGAATGGAAGAATGTTAAATTTCTGCAGTGGACATGGGATATTGCCCTATAACATTACATGCAATTGACCTTCCCCTAGGCTCAAAGAGGCCAAATGCTATGAAGAAAACTAATATGTATGTGGGGCAATTATAAAGCTAAAGCACTTGCCTCACGTACCTGAGATACCAAGTCCAGTCAGAATCAAGACAAGAAGAATCAGTCCAGCACAACTGAGTTTCAGTGCCAATCGATGCCACCGTGTGCACTGACAAACATCTAAGAAGTCAAAAGAATACACTTGTTAAATTGTCCACTTGGGTACATCTGAGATAAATGTCAGAGGTGGTTTCCTAAGACCTCCATTACCTACAAGTAATATTTCCAAAACTCCTGGGGTACTGATTGAACTGAATTTAATGCTACATTCTGTGCACAGTATTTTACACACACACACACACACACACACACGCACATGCACACACACACACACACACACACACACTCACACGGAGTGTGGGAGGGTCAGTTTTCCATCTTAGCTAAGCACATGCTACATCTAGTGACTACAGATTTTACAATTTGCTAATTTGATGTTTGACAGTAAAACCTTTTTTTTTTTTTGCTAAGTGGAGTACTGTAGAGATCTTTGTACTATTACCTTTTATTTCAAATAATGCATTATGGCTTCTCTTTGGGATGATTGTTCGGGTGATATCATTACTTTTCCAATTTGGGTTCATCACTGAGCAAGTGAGTGTTGCTGGGACACAAGCACTGGTTGCTAGTGATTCACTTCTTAACTTAGATGCTGAAAGATCTCAGAGTTGCTGTCTATGGTAGTGTCCAGTTTAAAACACTGAGATATTTATTCCTATAATTTTATAGCTAAAGTTTATAGTTAAACATTGTTTATAGTTAAACTGTTGAATGCAAGTAACAGAAGCTACAGACACTGAAATGGCAAAAACACTGTGTCTATAGCAGATAATGGGTACTGTGCTGTAACATGACATACATGTGTCTATAGCAGATAAGGGGTACTGTGCTGTAACATGACATACATGTGTCTATAGCAGATAAGGGGTACTGTGCTGTAACATGGCATACATGTGTCTATAGTAGATAAGAGGTACTGTGCTGTAACATGACATACACTGTGTCTATAGCAGATAAGGGGTACTGTGCTGTAATATGACATACATGTGTCTATAGTAGATAAGGGGTACTGTGCTGTGTAACATGACATACATGTGTCTATAGCAGATAATGGGTACTGTGCTGTAACATGACATACACTGTGTCTATAGTAGATAAGGGGTACTGTGCTGTAACATGACATACCATGTGTCTTTAGCAGATAAGGGGTACTGTGCTGTAATATGACATACATGTGTCTATAGTAGATAAGAGGTACTGTGCTGTAACATGGCATACATGTGTCTATAGCAGATAAGGGGTACTGTGCTATAGCATAACATACACTGTCTACCACATTGCACTGCCCAGACACCAGGTTTGACATCTCTGCTTTCTTTGGTAACTATCAACAATGGATATCTTATGTTTATTAGACAGTAAAATGTATTAATATTTGAAATGTGATCATCATGTACCACAACTTTGTGAATTTAACTTTTTGTTAAATGTTTAAAAAATTGGTTTAGATATGGAAAACAATAACAGTTGTGTTTATAAAGGTAATAAGCAGAAATACTAGATGGATCTTACATGTCTAATTGATCACAATTCTCCTTCTGCTGTGATTTAGCTTCTAAAAGTTCCATGCATTCACATCTTATGAATGACTTTATAGATTAATTATTAGAACAAAATACTGTACTAAGCAAAGCTTTCCTCTCACTTTTTGTTTCGGTTGGTTCTTTTCTCAGATTGAATTTCCTGTACCTTGGGCTAGTCCCAAACTCCCTCTGTGGTTAAGGATGACCTTGAGCTACTGACACTGCTGTCTCCATTTCTCAAGTACTAGAATTACAGCTGTGCCTTACCATGCATGGGTAGAAATTCCTAATTTCAATAGCTACAGATGTTTTTGTTTCGTTAGTTTTCTATATTTTAAATATTTCTTGGTGTAATTGATGGCATGCCTTGAGTTACATGTTAAAATTTGAAGCCAGATGTGCTAAAATGTTTTCTTATTCTCGTTATGTGGTCAAGAATTACCCACATGTCCTTTTCTACTCTTTCTTTTCTTTTCTTTTCTTTTCTTCATTATACTTGGTGGCTGAATTTTATGATTGCAGACAAACTCTAGTGCTCTTATGACTGTTAAGCAGTTTTAGGATGCTGACAAACAATCATTAAATGACTTAATTCACTTGATTCTGGCCATGTCAGAGGAGCAGCAGACGGCGATTGAAGTTCGAAGAGTTAGCATCCTAGCAGAAAAATTTCTGATGAGTGAATCTCTTATAGTCAAAGCCCAGAGACCACAAACTCCAGAATGTGTTTCATTTCTGCTGCACCTTTATATGTTTGCTGCTGTCATCTTTCTCTGGATTCTGGCTTGCTGTGAATGGGTGTGGGGAGATCCCCACTGCCTGTAATTCAGTGTGTTTGTCCCATGGAAATATCCTGTTTTACTGGACATTTTTACTTATGGATTATTATTAAGATAATTTCCTCTTAAACTGTACTGTTTAACTGAATCAATGACTCAATACAATAATTGTGTTAGTTTAAATAAGATTCTGATGATTGAGGGATTTTAATAAATATAGTAAGGAATTAAGATAGAGGATAGTTTTGTGGAAAAATTAATACAGGTAAAGGTAGGATAAAATATTGTCTTGCCTCTGATAAACCTGACACTGTAGAATATTAAAAAATAAAACAAGGAAATTTCACACAGCTATAGCACATGAGTTTCTATTGAGAAATCCTAGAAGCTGTGACTTAAGATAATGTACCTGGGTTCTTGGTAAAACTTATTTTTCACCTGTAATACAAAAAATGTTGAATCATGTTAAGTGATATGGAAATCATGTTGCCTTTTACTTGTATTCATTGTAATCAATCATTTGAAAACTAAAATGTTACCACATTATAATTTTTATATTGCCTGAAAGATTTTGTTGGGGAATATAAGCTTTAGAGGAAAAATAAAGAGCAAATATACAAGAACAAAGAAGGAAAACAAGAATGAGAATAAGGAAGAACAAAGGGTTAGGACAAAACCATGGAAAGAAAAAGAAGAAATATAGAGATAAGAAAATGGAATACATAACACAGAATAAAGAATGCAGAAGAAAGAAATCATCAAGAGAGTGAGTGCCTTACCCCTGACACCCGCAGATAAAAATATCATAGCACAATGACTCTGTGGATTCCCTCAGAGCCCCGTGATGCTGGAGGCTGGTCCTCTCTGCCCCTCTTCCCAGTTAGCAGAAATCATTTTAAGTGTTTTGAGAAAAACAAAAAAGGCAGAATGAGTAGAAGTGTTCCCAGGAGATAGGAGACAACTCCTCTTAGTCATATCGATAGACCCAGTAATTCACGTTCACTGCTAACTAAAACTTTTCACACATAAAAATCGAATGAACCTCTACAAACGTTCCCCATCATATCCTCTAGACAAATAATAACAACTATTTCAAGCCAATGAGATCATCTTAGACACTGTAGGGAATATGGAGGTTATCTAAAGTACAAAGGGATATGTACTCAGCTCCTGTGCAAATACCACATTTTATAGAAGAGACTTAATATCATAAGAAGAGGTTTTATAAGCAATATTCTGTGGACAGTGAGTAATACTGTGTGGTCAAAGTGAAACAAGACTGTCATGGGAGGAAACACAGTACACTGAACTTTGAAATGAGATCATGGAATGTCATTTCTGCTGTGTAAGCCATGCTGTGTGACTTAATAAGGAGACAAAAGCAGATACTAGACAAACTTCAAGGCTTCAAAGACACCACAAATATGAGAATATCAGTGTATTTATATCAATCTAGAATTTCTCCTGAACACTAGTGAGACACAGTGAGAAACATAGGGGACTGAGCCCAGTAAATAAGCCTAACAAGTCATGTTTCTCTCTCTCTCTCTCTCTCTCTCTCTCTCTCTCTATATATATATATATATATATATATATATATATATATATATAAAATCATTTTATATTTCTCTCTTTTCTCAATCTTTCCACCCTCAAAATTCTGAATTCTTTTATATAATTTAATTATCTTTGTACAGTCACTATTTTTATGGTTTTTACTAAAAGTTCAATATTCAGAACAATCATATTTCAAATTTATAATGCAACACAATACAATACTGATGACAATATGTTAAGGTGTCATAAACCAGAAATGTTTATAAAATCATCTATAAAATGTTTGGACAATATCTACTTTAAGAACTTTCAGAATGTATGAAACAATTCTAATAAATTTGAAAGTATAGTGCCTTGTACAAAGCACTATTCAACATACAGTAATTCTATCCCCCCAACACACACCTACACACACACACACACACACACACACACACACACACACACACACAAGTGTTTTTTTAAACTAAAAGTAAAAGGATTATTTGGGTGGTTTTTAAAATTGTTATTCTTTCACACTGAAGAATAAGGAATTGCATAGAAATCCATCCCTGTTTGAGTTCTTCTGTATGAGAATAGAATGAGTGAATAGACATTTAAAAGACCATGTGAACTTTAGTTATGTGGAAGTTTCAGCTTTAGGCTGTTAGTTAGTTAGTTTATTTGTTTGTTATCCACAGAATAAGTCACCTTCACTGTTCCAGACATTTCAATGGCTTCCACTTCATGGTTATCTGATCCTATGAAATGTCTTCCAAATCCCTTTACACGGATCACATTCCTCCTGACAATCTCCACACTACATCGAGCACGCATGTTCCCTGACAGCACCACATAAATGTTCTCCTTTTTCATTTGCAAATCTAGCTTCCTCTAAGTCTCCTCTCTCAGATTCCCAGACATGGTACCCAGAGACTTCCAGGACTTGACTCAGCATCATCTCCCAGGAAGCCCTGCCATGATCACTTTGCTTGACATGATGCCATCTCTAAAGGAAAAATCTTAATTTCCATTTAAATGTTTTTCTTGCTGGCATTAAGCACCACACAGTCTCTGAGTCAAGTGTCCAATGATTGCACACAAAAATGTCATAGAGACTCCATTAAGAAAAGATGTTCATGTTTGTTTACAGCTGGATCTTCATCTAGAAAAAATACTGACACTTAGATACTTATTTCTGAGTGAATGAGTGAACTCTGTACAAATTTTATCCATCCTACTATCAAGGCTAACCTTTGATCATGTGACCAGAAAGCAAGTCGCTGCCTATGTCCCTCTTTCTGTTTTTGTGTGTTTACTGGGAGATTTAATCACTTTGCTGTGAATTTCCCACACTTTGAGCTGTGTAGCTAATGGATCCAGGCAGTTTCATTTCTTTCACTACCTGGTCAGTATTTTCTCTTCACAGGCTTTGTTCTACCTTTATTCTACTGCTTCTGTCCTTTAGGTTTCTATTCAAGTTGATGATATGTAGGAAAATAATCACAATCAGGGCAGACAAACTTTCTAATCTCTTGAATTGGGATCATGGCACGTAGTGTTGAGGAAATCTCATTGTCTTTTTCAACATTCATTTTCTTACACCCACTTCAACAAGCCCTTTACCATCCTTTTACTAGGCTTGAACACAAGAAAAAGAAAAACATGCTGCTTCCTATCACGCTTGTTCACTGGAATCCTTTCAGCAGTTTCAAAGCCTCCTCCTTCCCCTGACCCAATGTGAAGATGATAATGAAGCAGATTTGATGATTCTAAGATGATTTCCTGATTTTCACTTTTTTGAATTTAATAGTTCCTACCCTGTCAGTGGTCATGTCAAAAAGTAGCAGGTGGCAATTGACTTCAGGAGATCCACCCACCGGAATTCAAGGCACTGATGGGTGTATCTCTGATAGACAAGGCCCGGAGGGCTTTGTTTCCAGAATGTCTTTTGCTACTGCTGTGTCTTTATGTGTTTGCCACTGACATTTTTCTCTGGTATCTGTCATGGTGTGAATGGGTTTGGGAGGATCACCACTGCATTTAATGTATTGTGATTATGTCACAGACATATCCTGTTCAAATGGGCATTTTTACCTGTGGATTATTGTGAAGATTATTGTCTCTTAAGTTGTATTGTTTCACAGAAGTAACGATTTTATACAATAATAGTGATATTTTAAATAGAATTTTGATGATTGGATTTTCAATAAATACAGTAAGGTGATGTAGGAGAGTCTTCATATAAATCTGTTGCTTTCATTGGTTAGTTAATAAAGAAACTGCTTGGTCTGATAGGTCAGAACATAGGTGGGTTGAGTAGACAAAACAGAACGCTGGGAAGAAGGCAATGAGGCAGAGCCATGCAGCTAGCTGCCAGGTCAGACATGATGAATATTTCCCAGTAAGTCACCACCTTGTGGTGAGATACAGATTATTAGAGTGGGTTGAATCAATATGAGAGTTAGCCAATAAAATGCTACAGATAAGGGTCTTCTTTTGTTTTCACAGAGGATGAGACCCTGTGGATTGCTTCTATCCCAATATGGTATGATAGACCACGTCCTCCTAAAAGGTTGCTGTGAACACCCTCAAGAAATTACTTTGCTCAACAGCCAACTGAGATAAATCTAGCTCACAGGTTATACCATGAGAGACCTGAATAACATCGCCCCCATTCAGCACGAAACAGTTTGGAGAGAAATAACTACACCCATATTCCCAAACATTGTTTATAAATGTTCTTTTACATTTAAAGGGGGATATGATATAGATACAAATAATTTGCATTGGTATGGATTTTAAGGTCAATTTTGTTATATGTATATGTATTTCTAATCTTGATTAAGGTATTGTGACTGTGTAGTTCATTTAAAAATGTAATGTATAGAATGTGGCTGGCACAGGGACTGTCTGAGAAGCCATTGGTAATGGCACTGGGACTTGTTTCCTCTGCATGTTCTGGACTTTTGGGATCCTAGTCAGTTTGGATGCTCACCTTCCTAGACCTGGAGGGAGGGGGGAGGAACTTGAACTTCCCATAGGGCAGAAAGCACTGACTACTCTTAGGGCTAGAGAGGGAGGAGGAGAGGGAGTGGGAGGAATGGGAGGGTATTGGGAGGAGAGGCGGAAGTGGAAACTTTTATAAATTAATAAAAAAATAAATTAAAAAAGATTACAAAAAAGAAAAAAAATGTAATGTATAATTAGGAAATATAGGCTGTTAATGGATAATCATGAATAATAGTCAAGCTTGTAGTCATGTTAAATTTTCTAGATATATATAAAGATATATTTCAGTTAGATAGGCATTCTTCATATCTTTCAAAGACTACAAAATATGGCATTTTAAATGTTTTAATAACTTAGGGTTGTTAATGACAATGAGACATGTCTGCTCCTGGCAGCACCAATCTATTTAAAGAGGAAGAGAGGCATCGTAGAGGCTCCTTATAGAGTTTGATAGCCATTTGGGCAAGAAACTGCTCTTGCCTGGACTGTTTCATAGACTGGACACAGAGAACCCACAGAGAGAAAACTGCTAAACTTGCCTAAAGGTGAGATGGTCTTTCAGGGTTCCTGATTTATGAGAGTCTACGAGACATTCTGCAGGATACAGCAAAAAGTGACTGAACTGTCTTTAAATTTTCCTGCTTCATGGAAAATTCTGCTGGATACTATGGGCCTGAAGGCTGAAGATGGATGCCCCAATGGTACAGAGGAACTTTGGGTTACTGTCCAGGCAGCAAGATGTCTCTGTCATTTCTAGAGTTTCGAAGTTGCTTATTTCTTATTTGTTTAGGTAATATTATATCCTTCTGGAGTCTTTGATGGAGTTGAAGAATGGTTAGTCATAGTTATAGTTTTCCTTTGTTATGATAAAAGATAAAATAGATATAAATATTGTAACTGTAATTCTTGCTTGATACTTGGTTTGTTATATGTAATTTTACTATGTTAAAGTTAAAGCCTTTCTTTTTGTTTAAATAGAGAAGGGGAAATGATGGAGGAGGGTTATCTGTCTATGAGTTACTTTCATTGGTTAATAAAGAAACTGCCTTGGCCTGATAGGTCAGAACATAGGTAGGCAGAGTAGACAGAACAGAATGCTGGGAAGAAGGGAAGTGAGGCAGTCATCATGACTCTCCTACCCAAGATAGATGCGGGTTAGAATCCTTTCAGTAAGCCACCACCGCGTGGTGCTACACAGATTACTAAATATGGGTTAAAGCAAGATGTGAGAGTTAGCCAATAAGAGGCTACAGATAATGGGCCAGGAAGTGTTTAAATGAATACAGTTTCTGTATAATTATTTAAGGGGTAACCTAGCCGGGATCCAGGTGGGAATGCAGCCCGACGTTCCTACTACAGTAAGGTATTGTAATCGAAGTTAGTTTAATGGGAAAATTTATATCGGAAATGGCAGGGTATAGTGTTGTCCTTGCCCCCTGATAAAGCACGAGCTGAAGGGAATAGAAACTAGAACCAAGGAAGTGCCATGCAGCTAGGACTTATAAGTTTCTCTTGAGGAGCCCTATAGGCTGTAGCCTAGGTTAATGATTAAGGAAAACAATTGATTCCTAGAAGTTAAGCTAGCACAAGACTTTAAATATTAAGGTGTTAATGGGTTTTGGTATGCATCATAGCTAAAACCAAGCTTTATATCATGACAAGGTTAGTTTAAGATGTTTTTGTTAATAATTTGAGGTAGACAATCTTGGGGAACAATTTTCAGTTTAGAAAGGTACAGTTTTAATAGTTGTGCAAGAAACTCATGGAGATCAGGAAATAAAAACAATGATAATACTGGTTAATGGGTCTTTCTTGATCAGATAGGTTGGTGAACAAAGGAAATGTTCAATTTCTCATACCCATTTCTGCCCTCAGCTTTCTGATTAAAAAAAACCTATTGATGAATGGGTATGTACCCTGGGGATTTTAAGAGACATGATTGTTTTTCATAGATGAAAGTTTAGATTTGTGATTTTTTAAGATTTTTCATCAGATTACCTTTTGAGATAAATAATATAGTGATTGTTCCTTTTGTTGTAACCACATAATGCAGACTGCCAGCAGAGAATTGTCTGTCAAGAATACCTAGCTTGCTTACATTCTGTTAATCTATGTCAGGTTGCTTGTACATGAATGTATTTGAGTTAGGGAATAATTTCTTTTTCTCCTGTAACAACAAAAGGAGATCAAGGGAATACAGATTATAATGGAAGAAGTCAAGCTTCCACTATTTGCAGATGATATGAGAGTATACAAAAGAGCCAGGGACCTCCTATAGCTGATAAACAGCTTCAGTAATGTGGCAGGATGCAAGATTAACTCAAAAAATCAATAGACCTCCTATATACAAATGATAAATGGGAAGAGAAAGGAATCAGAGAAACATATCGCTTTATAATAACTACAAATAATATAAAATATCTTGGGGTAACTGCAACCAAACAAGTGAGAGAACTTTAAACCTTTGAAAAAAAGAAATTGAAGATGGTATCAGAAAATGGAAAGATCTCCCATGCTTTTGGATAGGTAGGATCAACATAGCAAAAATAGCAGTCTAACAAAAATCTTTCTACAGATTCAATGCAATCCCTAACAAAATCCCATCACAATTCTTCACAGACCTCAAAAGAACAATACTCAACTTCATATAAAATAACAAATACCCAGGATAGTCAAAGCAATCCTGTGCAATAAAGGAACTTCCAGAGGCATCACCATCCCAACTTCAAAGTCTGCTACAGAACTACAGTAATAAAAGCAGCTTGGTATTGGCACAAAAACAGACACATGGACCAATGGAATAAAACCAAAGACCCTAATACTGA